TTCCACTTGTCTTCTTGTAAACACACAGTTCATCTTCATTTTTGATAAAATCAAACCTTTTGATTGTCTCATCAAAACGAAGATTCCAACTCCTAGAGGCTTGCTTTAATCCATAAATGGATCGATTTAGCTTACATACTTTGTTGGCTCCTTTGGATTCAAAACCTTCAGGTTGTATCATGTACACCTCCTCTTATAAGTTTCCATCAAGGAAAGCAGTTTTAACATCCATTTGCCATATCTCATAATTATGGTATGCAGCTATTACAAACAAAATTCGAATCGACTTCAGCATGGCTACAGGCAAAAAAGTTTCATCAAAGTCAACACCTTGTCTTTGTGTGTAACCCTTCGCTACTAGCCTTACTTTGTATGTATGGACGTTTCCATCCACATCGACCTTTTTCTTGTAAACCCATTTACAACCTATCAATTTTATCCCACCTGGAAGGTCGATCAAGGTCCAAATCTTGTTCTCATACATTGAGTTCATTTCGAATTTCTTGGGTTCTTGCCATCTCTTCGAGTTAACACTTGACTTCGCTTCTGCGTAACTTGTAGATTCATCATTGTCGACTAATAATACTTGATTAGTAATCGTGAATTTGTACCTTCTGGGAGGTCGAATGATCCTACTTGATTTACGCTAAGCTGGAGTGTCCTCAGGGGTCTCTACATCCTGATCAAGAGTCTGTCCGTCAACAGGTGTGGGATCAGACTCATGTTCATCTAATTGGTTAACAGTATCTATGGATTCTTGAACTTCTTCAAGTTCTAGTTTGCTCCCACTACCCTCTTCTAGAATAAAATCTTTCTCTATGAATATGGCATATCTTGAGATGAACACCTTCTTCTCAACAGGATTATAAAACTGATATATAAAATTGATATCCAATTGTCTCTGTTGGATATCCCACAAATACGCATCCCTCAAACTTATTTGATTCATTTCACTTTACATAAGCGTCACAACCCCAAACTTTCATGTGAGATAAGTTTGGTCTTTTTTCTCTCCATAGCTCGTATGGAGTTTTGTCGACCGATTTAGATGGGACACGATTAAGTGTATAGCAGGCAGCAATTAGTACATGACCCCAAAATGATTTTGGGATGTTTGCATGGCTCATCATAGATCGTACCATGTCTAACAAAGTGCGTTCTCCATTCAGATACACCATTATGTTGAGGTGTATATGGCGGAGTCCACTGCAAGAGAATCCCATTCTCTTTTAGATAATCTAAAAATTCTCCCTTTAAATATTCTCCACCTCGATCTGATCTCAGCGTGAGAATATTTTTACCAGTTTGTTTCTCTACTTCAAGTTTGAATTCCTTGAACTTTTCAAGTGCTTCATGCTTGAATTTCATCAGATACACATAACCATATCTGGAATGATCATCAGTGAATGTGATAAAGTAAGAGAAACCATCTCTGGAAGTGATTGACATGGGGTCCACATACATCAGTGTGTATTAGTCCCAACAGTTTTGTGGTTCTTTCTCCTTTTCCAGTAAAAGGGAACTTGGTCATTTTGCCTAACAGGCACGACTTGAATTTTTCAAATGATTCAAAATCAATTGACCCCAAGTATCCATCTTTATGTAACTTGGAAATGTGTTTGTCGTTAATATGACCCAATCTGCAAGACCAGAGGTATGTATTATTTAGATTATCACTTCTATGCCTTTTATTTTCTATATTCATAGTAGACGACTCAGTATCAAGAATATAAATTCTATTTTGCAACACACCACAACCATAAAAGATCTCATCTTTATAAAACTAACATCGTTTGTTCTTAACATTAATTGAAAAACCATTCATGTCCAAACACGAAATAGAAATAATGTTTTTAATAATGGCGGGAACAAAATAGCAATTTTCTAATTCTAATACTAAGCTCGAAGGTAGTGATAAGAAGTATGTCCCTACAACTAATGTAGCAACTCTTGCTCCATTCCCCACGCGTAGGTCAACTTTTATTTTTTGTAGTGGTTTACTTCTCTTTAGTCCTTGCATGTTTATACAAATATGAGATCCACATCTGGTATCTAATACCCAAGAAGCTAATGAAGTAGACATATTAACCTCGATAACAAAAATAACTGAAGTAGAAGTTTCAGAAGACTTCTTTTCCTTTAAGCTAGCGAGGTAAGCCTTGCAGTTCCTCTTCCAATGACCTTTCAATCTGCAGTAATAGCATGGGTCATCAGATTTGGTATTGTCCTTGCCTACTTTGACTGGTTTGTTATTGCCCTTAGCCCTTTTGGATATTTTCTTAAAACTTCCTTTGATTCTCCTCTTAGTGCCCTTGGAGGAATGAATAGCTAAGACATGCCTAGTGCTAGCCTTGACATTGGGCTCCACAGTTTTAAGCATATTTAGTAACCCAGTGAGTGTGCATTCGATTTTATTCATATTGAAGTTCATAATGAACTGTGAATAACTATCTAGCAGAGATTGCAGAACAAAGTCAATACTTAGTTCATGATCCATGATAAAACCCAATGAAGCCAGTTTCTCAATGAAACCAATCATCTTCAACACATGAGCATTGACTGAAGATCCCTCTGCCATTTTGCACCAGTATAGTTGTGTAGAGGTCTCATACCTCTCCACATGAGATTGTTCATCATACAACTCTTTGAGATGAAAAATCACAGTGTAAGCATCCATACCCTCATGTTGCTTTTGCAACTCAGGTGACATAGCTGCAAGCATCACACATGCTGTAGTGTTATCGTCATCACTGTGTTTGTTGTAAGCAGCCACCTCTTCCTTAGTGGAATTTTCAGTGGGCACCACTGGAAAGGGTTGCTCAAAGACATACCCAATTTTCTCATGTTTGAGAACGATTCTCAAATTGCGATGCCAATCGAGAAAATTTGGTTCGTTCAGTTTGTTGGCATCCAGTATGCCTCTCAAATTCATATGATTACTCATGATTTAAAAACTAAAAATGATGAAAAATATAGAATTAATATGTATTATAATGCATATGCACAAATTCAAAATGGACGTTAATTAAACGTGCTCCCACTGTTTAAAATAAATTCATAACCCTTATACATAAATTATTTGAATCCACATTTGATTCCCAGTGGGCTGGGATCCCATTCGTTGTATTAAGATCTTGAGTTTACTCAACAAATCTTAATAAAACATTTGGGTAGATATTGTTATCAATTGTATCTTCATACAACTCCCAGATCATTAAGCTGAAAACTCTTTTGTTTTCACACATCTTATGTGTTAGCTTAACATGCCTCCAAAACTTATCTCCTTGAGTGTACTCAACAAAAGATAAATTTTAGTTAAATCAAACCCATCATTCAGGAATATCAAATATTTCATAGTGTCAAACATATCCCTAATAGACCATCCTTGAGTGTACTTAAAAAAAATAAAGACGGCTTTTGATATATTGATTTATTTGAAAAGATTGGATTGCTTTCCAAATACATGTATTGCTTATAGAACATTATTGACAATTCTCGTTACTATTGCATCTGCTAAAAGAAGTTTTTCAAAATTGAAGTTATTAAAATCGTATTTGCGATCAACCATGTTACAAGAATGATTGAATGTATTAGTTTTGATATCTATTGAGCAAGACTTTCAAGAAAATATTGATTTCGAAAGTTTAATTAGTGAGTTTGCTTCTAAAAACGCGAGAAGAAATATTTTTACATGATTTGTTGCATTTCAAACTTTACACTTGATATATATATATATATATAGTTATTTATTTATTTATTTATTTATTTAAACATACATCAACTATGCGAATAAATATATATAAATAATAGTATGGATGATTATGGACTTGTTCTATGTAGTTTTCCCGAGCCAAAGGGAAAACTAGTCGGTCAATTCCTAAGGGGTACAACATTGGAACAACACCAATGCAGCATCTCCATGGTTTCCACCTCTTCTTATGCCTTTAAGTAGTCAAACTGCAACAGGTATCATATACTAGTTGGCACAGAGGCCTAAAAGAAATCGGACTCATAGGTCCAATATAATAAAGAGCTCGCAGACCCATAACAACAATAATAACATTGAACTCGCAGGTCCAAAATAATTAAGGGCTCGCAGGCCCATAAAACAACAAGAAGTAAATCAACCATTCAACACATCTATGTGGTCGAGTCCATAATCATCCATAAATAAACATTCATCACATAAATGTCTTCTATGTATAATATCTAATATTATATGCTGTGTCTCATAAATCTAGCAATTATAGTCATCAAAACTAATTTAAAATTTTGGATCGAAATAATTAAATGATTAATTAATCATATTAATCAATTAACTTATATGGCGGACCTATTTAATTAAAATCAAATTTCAACTAATTCCTGAATTAGAGTTCAACTCTAATTCCATAACTATTGGGCGAAGTAATTTAATCAAAATCGGATTTTAATTAATTATTAAATTAGAGTCGTACTCTAAATTTTAATTTGCATGGGGAAGTGGTATTGATTGAAATTAAATTTTAATTAATATAATATTAGAGTTCAACTCTAATAAAATTGAATTAATATTTTAATTTAGGACAAAATTCCCAAATAACATAAAAATTCAATTAAGGGTCAAAATTAAATATTTAAGTTAAAATCTAATTTTAACAAAATATAAAAGTCGTCAAATTTTAAATAAATTTTAATTTTGGGTCAAAATTAGGGTATGGGTCAAACCCAATTAAAACATCATTTTAAAACCAATTTTAAAATACAAATGTTAAAACACCTTTTGAAATTGCAAATTTGACCCAATTTAAAATTTAACAACAGGGGCTTCATTATTCGTAAAGTGCAGAAAAGCTCTCCATTTAAAAAATTGCAAATTGACCCCTTCAGAAATTGCAAGCAGGGGCTTGCAATTACATTAATTACAATTGAAGCCCCCGCCTCCAACCAAACCTTGGATGAAAAAAAAACTTCTTTTCTTCTACAATCGGCACCGCCCCGCCTAATAGCCGGCAGGGACGATGCCACCTGTAGTAGCGGCAGCGAAGCGGCTGCTACAGGCAGCGACATCGCTGCCGCTACAGATAGCGCCTGCAGTGATGCAGCAGCGTGCCTCTGTGAGCGGCGGTGGCACGCGCGTTGTCGACACTACGATCCAAATTTTTTTTTTCAAAATCTGATTCTGAAGAAATAAAATTAAAAACTATAATTGCTAGATTCAGGGATAAACATGATTAAATCAACCTTTAATTTATTCAATATGTAAATCAATTCCAAACAAATACAAAGTTAGCTCGATACCACTGTTGGAAATTTACTCAAACATGAACAGCGAAAATAAACAGTTTTAATTCCCACCAGGATTTATATTTGTATTTAGATAAGAATTGTGGTGAGAAATATACCTTTTAATGAATTTTGCAAACTCCTTTGCGTTATCTTTGCTCCAGCAACTTGAATCTGCCTTCCACAGCTATCCAATTGTCCAGCTTCCAATGCAATCCACACAGAGAATAGACTACAACTGCTAGGATTTTTCCTCTTGTGCCAGCAAGAATTATGAAAACAATATGGATCTTAAACCCTAGTCATGTATTTATATAAACCCAAACGGGCTCGACTTGGTCCGGTCCAATATTTAATTAATCCATTTAATTAAACCCGGTCAGTGAATTAATTAATCCAATTAATTAATTCGGGGATAAAAATAACCAATCCAATTAATTAATTTATCCAACGATTGTTAAATTAATTAATTGGCAATTTGCAATCTTCCAATTCTCTTTTGTGTGTGATCCATCAGGTTCTCGACCACGATGCCTAACGACGTGAAATATTATATTGATATAATAAAAATTGATAAATTAAACACCCTTTTCATTTATCACAAATTCAAACTCGCCGTCCCAGATTGACATCTAGCAATGTATCAGGGCAACACATGTGACGGGAAATGTCATGTGGTATGAAAAAATCAAAATTGTTCGTTTACCATGAAATTATAATCCCTTCGTCAATATGATCCGATCAACTACGAGATACAAAAGTATGTTAATCTCGATTATCGATCATATCTTTCATTCTATTATTTAGTCAATATGAGTCAAAAACTCCTTTTCGACTTATATGTATACCTTGGCCAAGGATTTCATTATTGACTTAATTGAACGAAATGTAGATCACAATCTCTTACTATCTAAGAGTGACGAATCCTCTATTGGTCATTCACATCCTTCATATGGTTCTTGACATACCTGAACGATGTCGTATTAGCGGCCCTTGGCAGAGCAACAGGCAACACCATCAAAGCATGACTGTCTTCATACAAGGCACTATGATGACCTCAAGTCATAGGACCAATTGCACTACTGAATGTTAGAGATTAAACATTGACACTCAGATAGTTATCCATGTAGAATCTCTTAGCGGTTCTCCAATATTTTGTTCTATAACAAAACATCCACGTATTCATTTAAGTGTCACCACACTTTAGCTCGTGAGATCAGCTACTTACTTCACAAGTAAAAAATGACACACTTGATGGTCTATCTGTATTAACGATATACGTATTTCGTTATTACCTATGACCACGGTTTATTCAAGATCCAATCATACATAATTTGTATCTCACAATCACAACTACTTGTGATTAACAAATCACTTAAACTTGGATCTTCGGACTCTATTATTTAATATTATTTATCAAAAATTTAATTTAAATAAATAATAGATCTTTCCAAAATTAAATGCATTAAAACATATTAAAAGTGTTTACATTCTAAATTGATTGGATCTAGGGCATAACACTTACACAAGGCGCATTTCATTGAAAAATATATAATTAGTCACGTAGATGATAGGTTTATTAATAAACAATAAATGCATCATTGATAAAATTGATCTAGATGGGAATTGTGAAAATATACACTAAGTTTAGATAATGAGGGGGAGAAAATCGTGGCTTTGTGGAAGGGAATAAAGTTGGAGTTGGTCAGATTGGGTTAGAAAGTGGGAGTAGGAGTATTGGTTAGTTGGGTTTGATTTGATATCTATCTACCATTTTGTACAAATTTTTCATCTTGTCAAATCATCATTAATTAAAGACAAGTCTGGGAATTTCATTTCCTCAAGGGGCAAATAAGTCCAACTAAGGGCCTTGGAGATGGTTTGTTGAATCTATGTTGGACTGCTGCGAGCCTTTGGAAAAGGTTAAAGATAAAGACATCTCGTTTGGGAAGGTGGTATGTTTGGCTCAATGTGCAGGAGCTAATGTTGAAGCTTTTCGCGCAAACCAAAGCACTATTGATGAATTTCGTAGATATGTAGTGTCATGCTCAACTTCATATGATTGTCATGTGATCTCATCATATCATAGAGGAGCTTTCAATCAGGTTAAGTATGTAACTTCTAGTTTGCTTATTTAATTTCTTTCATCTCACATGACCTTTTTGCCTTTTTCTAAGTTTTGCAAATGCACCTTGATCTCTTGGAACATCTATTCTTTGTTATATGAGCTACTCATGCTATTCTTATTGTGACTATCACCTACTATGTTACTAAGTGCTAACTCTAATGTAATATTCTCCATTGACTTCAGTAATGATGTTTCTATTCTTTCTTTAGAGAGAAGAAAAAAGAGAGAAATGAAAGAAATTTGTTGGGCAGTCAGACAGCATATATTGTTATTCAAAAAATTTGCTAGGTTCTAAGTTGTGCTCACAAGTTAATTCTCTGAAGCCTGTGCCATGTGCTGGCAGCTAGTCAGCCATTAAGTTTCTCAATTAATGAAAAGATAGTAATGCCTTATGTGCGGCAGCTATGCTGCTAAAAGATCGCCTATGTCGGCTATAACTTCTTCAAAAGCCCCATTCGTCGGTTAGTCGGAGTTGCTATGGGATTATTTTGTTCACTTCAAATTTTCATCCATAAAGCTTGACACCCTTGGCCTTAGGACTCGGGTGTCTCTAAGACATTCTTCTTAAAATGTAAAAATATTTAAGAGGAAGAAACGACTTATCATATAACTTTGTAAATTTATGGACTTCAAAAATTTCGGTAATCTTTGAAAATGAGAACTTAAAAAGTTTTTCATCTCCTTTTCTCTAATAATAAAAAAAAACTATAAGTTTGAAGGTCTTCTCTCATTTTCCATCAGCTAGCCATGCCTTGTTTCAATAACTACAAATCACTAATTTCTTGTTAGGAAATGAGAAGAGCGACATAAATCTCAATAAACAAGAGCAAGCGAAGTAAATTCAGCGTAGTCTAATTAGTGAATACCACATAATCATAACTTACAAGTGGAGAAATGTGAATTCAAAGCCAATCCTTCATAGGCTCGAAATTCACGCATAGTACTATGACTCGAGTGCATCTTACATATCATAATATATTGGAATGCTGCACAAAATTAAAGTACGGAGAAAGAAACTTTGCTAATACTAGGTAACTTGTTTAGCATGACAGAACTTGAAAACTCTATTAAAGATGCGTAGGAGAAAAGGAATATTGATGAAAACTTGAGCGCTTGCTTTGACTTTTCCTTAAACTATATGAAACTGTTTCGCCCAAGTAGTCGCTAACAATTAAAAAAGGGGGCAGACGATTGTGTAAGGAATATACCTCTTGAGATAAAGTTCCAAAAATGGGTGTTTTATTGGCGATGATTTACAATTGGAAATAAACGGAATGCTTCCAAGGGGCGCAAGCACACGAGTGTTAAAAGAAGTGTTTAAATTTAAGCTAAGAAATTAAAATTACTTATTCTCTGTTTGAGAGTGTTTGATTCGTGGTGTCTTATTCTATGTCTTCTCTTCCTTTTTATATTCCCTTGATGACTTCCTCGTGACAAACCGTTTGGAAACTGCTTGATTATTTTATAACTACCCACTTTCTTTATGGTGGCTAACTTGTCATGGAACTGCCGTCTCTAACTGCTGCCATTACTCTTTGTCGTTCAATCACCTTCAACTGGGCTCCTTGAATCGTGGAATGTGATAAAACTACTCAATAACTACTTTAATAACTGCTATTCTGGACAACCATAATATTTTATATTTGCTAAGATCCTGGGCGATTTGAAGATTTGGGCAAGAACGGGGTCATCGCTCTGGGCGACTGTAAGGCACTCCATTCGCTTAGATTTTGGGCGTCTTGCAATCTTGGGCAATGATGTCACTGTGTTCCTAGGCTTCCACTGCATTTATCAATAATCCTGTTTGGACCTTTATCCTGGACTCTCCAATTAGGCTTCACTCTTTGGACTATTTGATTTGGACTGCACTTTTAGTGTGTCAACAGAAACAAATTGTGTGAGAGAGAGATGAAAGAATAGATGTGTATTGAGATGGTGTTGTGTGTAGTATATGTTTTATCGGGTTGTGTCTAGGTTTGTGCATGGCAAGTCTTAATTTGATTGTATTGCTAATTCCATGCAAGACAAATAAATATGACTTTATACTCACTCACTCACACGCGCGCGCGCGTGCACACACACATATATATAGCTTGTCATATACGTATATATCAAATATATCATTTCATTGTTCATTCCAAGAAAGATAATAATTTTCTGTATTCTTACTTTAAAATAAATACGTTATTAAACCTATGCTTGGGGATGTCTTTATAAACACCGTAAAGAAAAACACTTTGTGTCCATCACTTTATATGCAACATTTCCTATGACCCACAAGTAATATCCACTTTTCCATCGCTCAATTTATCTGTTTATAATTTATTAACACTTTCCAAACATACTCTAATACTTGATTTTTATTTGATTGCATTCACTTGACATAAGATGAAAAAAATGTTTATCCAATCGTCCGAATTTTCTTTCTTCCTTTCATTCCTAATTGACACTTGACCACCTTTTATCCCCCCACTTGGCTCCCATTTTTTGAAATGAAAATGGGTGGAATAGTTTTTTTTTTTTAAATGAGTGGTTGAAAAAGAAGAATTTTTTTTGGTTTACGTGCAATATTATTTTATGGAAGATTGTGTGATTGAAAATAAAAGAGAAAAATGAAATGTAATATAATGGGAGCCAAACGGGGGCTATATTACTTCTACAATTCACTTTAGTTGCCCAATATACCGTTCACAGCATGGACAAAACTAAAATTTTATCCAATACATTTTATCTCCCAAAAAGTTGAAACATTTTCATTTTTGTCTCTGAACTTTAAATTTTATTGCAAGTCAAATAAAAAATTATGGCCAGTGACGGGAATTTGGGTGTTATATCAAGTCTTGTTATTGTTGCTTTTCATGTTTCTTCGATTCCATTTTGTATAGAAAGATGTTATTATATTTATTACCTCGACTTTGATTTTGATTGTGATTTCTTTATATTTCCTTGAAAGATATTGACTAATTGACATAGAGCATTGCTTCACTAGTTTACTTCTGAATAGTCTTTGGATGCGATAACTCTTAAATGGATAATCATCTCTTCTTTATTCACAGCTCAATCACAATAGTTAAATCTTCGTGTGCACATATTGAGCCTGTCTCACATGGTGCTCAATGATGTTAAGTGCATGTGACTCTCCTCACTATCCTTTTGGTAATTCAGATGTATGCCATTTTGTTTCTCTCTCTGCCTTTCTCTTCACTACTCTCTCTAGACAGCTGATATGTTAATTGATTATTTCTGTTGATTACGCTTTGGAGAATTACCCTCTAGTTTGGGTAGGTTTTATAGCTTTTTGCCTTGTAATAAATTGACAAATGTGTATATTGCAGACTGGAACTGGTCACTTTTCACCTATTGGTGGATATGATGCTGGGAAGGATATGGCTCTTATTCTAGATGTTTGGGTTCCACTCACTCTTCTCTGGAAAGCCATGAGTATTGTTGATGAAGCAACTGGACTACATAGAGGGTATGTGTAAATGCATATCCGAATTGTCTTTTTTCTGAGATATTATATTGTTTGCCTTGTACAGAGGTATCAGACGATAACTTACTGGCACTTATTATCTGTTTATAGTAACTTTACGCCATAAAAATTGATGGAGCTAGAAATACAAGATTCTGAAGCAGATAGCAGAATCATACCTAACCATTCATATTTTAGAAATTATGTTATAATAGAACTTTTCTGACTTCTGAAAATGCCATCATATTCATTCATAAATCAATCAGTATTGAAAAGGGTAAATTGGGTATCAAGGTGTTTAGCTTTCAATATGAGGTGGAAACCCTGAGGCATTTTGAAGCATAAGCTTCAACGTAAACCATTAAAACAATTCAAATATTATAAAAAGACTAAACTTGTTATAAACCATAAATCACCGAAGAAGTACATAATAAAACATTTAGAAGTCGAATTTGTGACTAGAAACATAAAATAGATCACAGTGTAGCTAACAATATATTAACGAAGTAGTAGTCGCATAACACGACCATACTCCGCAGGTGAACTAAAAGTAAAAAACAAATGAAACAAATGACCGACAGAAATATTTTTTGCTCTAACTTTATAATAGCAAAACCCACAGGAAACAAAACAAAAAAAAAAAAAAAAAAAAAAAAAAAAAAAAAAAAAAAAAAAGAAAGGAAGACACCAACAACAACAATATAAATGAAAAAACTAAGCCTCACTCCAAAGGAAAATATAAAATAAAGAGAAGCAAAGTTGTCAATCTCTTGTAGAAGTAGAGGGCTAGGGCCATGCTCCACTTGTTCTCTTCTCTAATTAGTATCTTCCTTTCTACTACTATTATTATTATTATTTTGATTTCTAGAGTTGGGCTGTATTTGCAAACTTGTCAAAAACTCTTCAAAAGTTTCTGGGCCATAAAACATTCAGCCTAGAGCTGATGCTGGTAAAGACAAATAATGAGGGTAAAACTAAAAGAGCATACCTCAGTCACCTTGATGCTCATGCCTTGAGGCTTTCGCCTTAGGAAGTCATCACTACAAGAAAAATGACCTTTTACAACATTTCAATGGCAACATTCACCAATTGTATATTGCTAAAAGAGATTTATTGCAACATTCAACAAATGCATGTTGCCATTGGTTGAGAAAAGTAAGATTTAGCAACGTTCTTTGAGTGGTTGTTGCTAATACCCCATTTCGTAACGTTCAAAGACCGTTGTTTTATGTTTTTTTTTGGCAATGTGCATTGACCATTGCTGTAGATGTTTTAGCAACGTTCATTGAACGTTGTCGTTGAATAGTTTTGGCAACGTTTAACGAACATTGCCGTTGATTAGTGTCAACAACGTTCAGCGAACATTGCCATTGAGTAGTTTTGGCAACGTTTACTGAACGTTGCCATTGATTGGTTTTGGCAACGGGCAATACACGTTGCCGTCACTTGTTTTAGCAACGCCCATCCGAACGTTGCTGTTAATTAGTTTTAGCAACGTTCGGTAAATGTTGTTGTTAAGTAGTTTTTGCAACGAGCAATGCACGTTGCTGTATATGTTTTAGCAACGTTTATTGAACGTTGCCATTGATTAGTTTTGGCAACGTTTAATGAACATTGCCGTTGATTAGTGTCACTGAATTTTGGGCTCCAATAGGCCCAATATATATATATTTTTTAAAGCCTGGAACATTCAAACCCAGATGGAAGCCCAACTGCACAGCCCACCCATTTACTGGCCTGGAATTGGTTTCATTGAAATTAAAACAAAACAATGGTAACTTATCGTGTCTCTCTCCGTCTATCCACTCTCGCAGTCGGCGGCGGTCGACTTCTCCTAGGTCTCTAATCTCCGACCAACTTTCTTCAAAAAGGCCCAGATTTTCAAGACTCCACGCTGAAGCCAACTTTTTCGTTTCCTATACCTATACCTATACCCTGTGCCGCTGGAAAATTCGTTTCGATCTCGCCGATTATGCCCGGCAAGTGAGTAATCAGATTTGAATATTCTCATCCTTTATTTGTAAATACTCCCACATGTATTGATAAAGCAACAGATATTTGAGGATGGGGGATTATATGAATGGCAGCAAAGAGGATTATTATTACACCTCCGACCTAGAATCGATCAACGGGTTCGAGAATGGAGACTCTTAAATGGGCCCCACCTAAGCCCCTTCCTGCAAGGTATATACATGCAAGTTTAAAGCCCTAATTTGACAGAGTTGTTATAGGAGTTAGGGTTATGCACTTTCGATAATTTGCTTCATTTTGCCTGAATTTATTTCCTCTTTTCCACTTTCCATATCTCCTCTTTGCTTTTAATTACATCTAACATGGCACGAGTTGGTGTAATCTCTTGGACGACATTATTCTTATTAACAAGAAGGGTCTTTCCAAAATGTTCATTTAATTTCTGTAATCGAGTTGTTTCCACAATACATACTTCTTTAGCAGTAACTTTGGCTTCTCTTTCTGTTCAAGATTGGAGCTGCCCAGTATGCCCTTTGGCTTCCTAGTCTTCTCCTCACCAGGTATTAATCTTATCCCTGTTATTAAGTTTCTAACTTTGGATTCAGTGTTGGACTTTTCGTTGGTTCTTGGTTCAATTGAAATTGTAGATTGAAACCAAAATCAATTTTTCATAGCTAGAGTTCACGAGCTACCGCACCATTTTATGAGCTGATTCACCATGAAAATCAATTTGTTTTTGACAAGTCGTATCTCTGCTTATCCTTGTTGTTTTTAAATAGGTTGGTTAGCAAATTTCCAGCTACCTAGCATTGACTTCCTTATATATCATGGGGTCCTCGTTGCTACCCATGATTCTCTTCATCATTCAGACTATGTTTGATTGGTATAATTACACTGTTTGTACTATTCCCCTCTTCAGATGGTCATTCTCAGCAATGATGTTGCAAGTTTAGCATTGAAATTGTAAATTGTTATACTGCTTGTACTATTACCCTCATAAGAAAGTCACTCTCTATCAGAAAGTTGTGTATTTCAACTTACTCCATTCCCCTCTTAAGATTGTCATTCTCTATTAGAAAGGAGTGGAAAATTGAAATTGTAAATTGTTGCACAAATTTAAATTTTATGAGTTTAGTTCTATAGAGGAATTAGCTAACAGTCGGAGATGGATGGGTCAATCTCTAATCTTTTATTTATGTTACTTTGAATACAAATGAAATGTTTCTCAAAGGTATAGTATGAAAAGACTTTCATAGCAAGTCATTCTTCTTTATGTTATTGAGATGATGCTTTTGTCTGACTTACAGTGCCTAAGTCGATTATTAAATTATATTTCTATTTTTGCATTCTTGTGTTGATCAAGTCAAGCATCACTTAGGAGCATCAATATTATTTTTTAAAATGTTATGAGTGTATCCTATAGAAATATTATTTAGGTTGGTTGAGATCTTAAGAGATATCGTTCTAGCTATTTGATTATTACATCTTATTCCTTTGTCTCATAGTCTATTATTTATAATTTTATGAATAATTAAGATCGTACACGCATCACAATCTTTAATCAAGTAGGCATTGCTATAGATCCAATTCATGCTTTAGTATTGATCTTCATCAATGTAGTTTCTATTATTGCACAGAACTCAATTTTTAAAAGGTTCACCAACAAAGCAATAATAATTAAAGATTTTATCACTAAACACGTTTTAACTTTTCTTGTCAAAAGTATGTGACAAGTACAATGAATTATCTAATTAACTTTTATTATTTATTGTGTAATTTAAACTTAGAGAACGGCGATGGGACATCAAAATAGTTCCTCATACAGTCGATCTGCTGGGGATCCGATGGTTATATTAACTTTGCTGTGTACTATTTAAATTTTTTGTCTCAACATCAAAACATTCTCCTTTCACACTTCCAATGCAATTATGGGGTTTTAACTTATAAGAGATTACAGAACGTAAAATGTGCACTTTTGAAGAAGAAGAAGAAAAGTAAAGCAATTTGAGAACTTACTGCGCAAAAGAAGAACACAAATTGGGCAGAAGTTGGTTTTGTGAGTGAGACGTGGACTTGTGTACAATATTTGAAATTTAAACATTTTCCACCTGAACATTTTAACCATACACTTATGAAGAGAATAAAGGGTACAATATTTGAAATTATTATTATTCAAATTTAAGGGTTCTTCTTTCAGATTCTTGTGTGCCCTTCTTCATGTTTCTAATTTGTCATGAATATTTTTGAATAAAAATTTCTGTATTGGATTTAATTACTAGCAGTTAAGGGTATGTTTTTACATAGTATTAGACAACATATACCAGTCCCAGTCCTATGAGTTCTTGCGACAATGTAATATTGATTTTATTGGACATGAAACAGATGCAAACCCTAGCAGTGACAGTTGCTTATATAATCTATGATTTAGTATGCTGTCTTTTTGACAAACATGTGAAGCTTGACAATACAATTCATCATCGTGTAAGTATTGTTGGACTTGTGGCTGGCCTTGCCTATCAAAGGGTAATGTTCCTTTTTTTCTTTCATTTTATAATTTTTCCATATCGTAAAATCTTGATTATTTCTTGTAAAGACTGCTAAACTAGGCAATATTTAGAATATGGTGTTTGATTTCATGCCTTGCTCACAAAAATTCTTTTCTTGTCTAAACTTTTGTAAAATTACAGCTTGCTTTCAACAATCTTATTCATTAGACTGCGTTCTCGTGGAAGCAGAATACCAGGTATGACATTCAGGAGACTTACTCTAATCTACTTTCCTTTCAATATGAATATTATGCTCTCACACATTTGCTTGTGTTGCAAATTACCAAGTTTAGTTCACAATTTGAATTGTTGTTGTTCAATGTTTGATAGTATCATAATGGACAAAGAATGGCTACAATTATCAATGTCACTATCCGAAATAAAATCTTATAAATCTACTTTCAAAATTTAAACAATAATATAAATTTTTTAACGGTATTGTTGTTATAGATTTTCAGAACAATGCAGAGATGGAGCACGGAAGTTTGTAGAACTAGCTCGTGAAACTCTAAAGTCAGAAATGATAGGATGCCCATGTATCAAGTGTAGAAATCTAAAGCATCACAATTGTGAAATAGTGCATGAGTATTTAATTATTAAGGGTATGGATCCTACATACACTGATTGGGTATTTCATGGAGAAATGCCAAGTAAATCAAATTTGGTCGACGTAGAAATGCCGAGTCATGTAGGATGTTTAGGGACTTATATACGCAACATGATGTAGATTCTGAAAATCCTGATGATGGAATAGAGGAAGACATTCAACGTTTAGTTAGTGATGCAGAAACCCCTTTGTATCCTAGTTGTATGGCATTTACGAAGATGTCAGCTTCAGTTGCTATGTTTAAACATAAAGATACACATGGTTTATCCGATAGTAGTTTCGATGAACTCATAAATCTTGTGCGGGACATGCTACCACAGAATAATACACTTCCTAACTCATTTTATGAGATGAAAGAACTTGTGAATATATTTAATCTTGGCTATGAAAAGATACACGCTTACTTGAATGATTGTTGTCTATATAGGAAGGAGCTTGAACATGCTGAATTATGTCCAAAATGTGGTTGCTCAAGATGGAAAGTTAACCAACAAACTAAGAAAGTTAAAAAAAAAAAACATTCCAGCAAAAGTCTTGCGTTATTTCCCTATCATACCAAGACTTAAGAGAATGTTTGAAATAGAAGAGATTGCAAAACAACTTAGATGGCACTCAAATAATAAGAGTTTAGATGGTAAAATGAGGCATCTGGTTGATTCATTGGGGTGGGAAATGATAAACAGAAAGTGGCCACATTTTGCATCAAATCCTCGAAGTATTAGATTAGGTCTTGCCACCAATGGATTCAATCCTTTCAAAGATCTTAGCTCTAAATATAGTTGTTGGCCAATTATTTTAACTATATACAACTTACCTCCCTCATCATGCATGTCGAAGGAAAATTTGATGTTGAGTTTATTAATCCCAGGACCAAAGCAGCTAGGTAATGACATAGATGTTTATCTGGCACCACTTATAGACGATTTAATATTGTTATGGAGTGATGGGGTTGAGATCTATGATGCAGTTGTAAAGTCTACATTTTGATGTCGACAATACATGACTTCCCTGCTTATGGAAATGTGTCTGGATGGTCCGTCAAAGGAAAAATTGCATGTCCCATTTGTCGTGAACATACATGTTCAGTATCGTTGTCACATTGTAGCAAGTTATCATACATGGGACATAGAAGATTTCTTGCATTAAGTCATCCATTTCGCATGAAAAGGAGCTGGTTTGATGGACATATTGAAAATGGCATTAGGCCAAAGATAAAAACTGGTGAAGAAGATTCCAGTGAAGTTGATAAAATTGTAAATGATTGGGGCAAAAGTGGTAAGCGAAAGAGAAAGAAGAATACGACTCAATCCAATGTAACATGGAAGAAAAAGTCAATATTTTTCAGACTACCATATTGGAAGGTAACTCTAGTTATGTCATTTCCTTTTTTTAATACATCTAATTGCGTGTAGTATCTCATGACACAAGTAATGTTTGGTTTGCATACTTTGCTTATACGTCATAATTTGGATGTGATGCACGTGGAAAAGAATATTTATCAGAGCATCATTAATACACTTTTGAATTTGAAAGGAAAATCGAAAGATGGCATTAACTGTCGTAAGGACTTGGAAGCTATGAATATTAGGCATGATCTACATCCTGAGAGTAGAGGAAATAAATTTTACTTACCTGCAGCTCCTCACACTTTATCAAAAGCAGAAAAACAAATGTTTTGCAAAAGGCTTGCTACCTTGAGATTACCTGATGGTTATGGTTCTAATATTGCAAATTGCATTTCAGTGGAAGAATGTAAGATAGTTAGACTGAAGCCTCATGATTGTCACCTTTTAATGCAACAATTACTATCAGTTGCATTGAGAGGACTTCTTCCTAAAGGACCAAGGAACTCCATTTTTAAATTGTGTTCGTTTTTCAATGAAATCTGTCAAGGAGTTGTAGATAGGAATAAGGTTGAAATTTTAGAAGACGATGTTTCTGAAACTTTGTGCATGTTGGAAAGGTATTTTTCACATTCCTTTTTCGATATAATGGTTTATTTAACAATTCATATTGGAAGAGAAGTTCGTCTATGTGGACCAATTCAATATCGTTGGATGTTCCCATTTGAGAGGTAGTACTCCTTATTCCCAAAAATTAAATCCACTATCAAATTGATTTCTATTTTATTATGTTTTTGAAAAATGTGTAGGTATATGAAAGTGTTGAAAGGATATGTTATGAATCATGCAAGACCTGAAGGGTGCATAGCTGAACGATATATTGTTGAAGAAAATGCGATGTTTTGTAGCAAATACATAAAACAAGCATCTGCAATCGGCTCTAAGACTGCACGCAATGAAGAGTATGAGAGTGACTTCTTAGTTGCAGGGCATCCAATTTCTAAAGGGAAGCCACTTGTACTATCTGATGAGATGTTGAACGTTGCCCATTGCTATGTATTGCTAAAGTGTAGAAGTGGCTCCATACGTACAGTATGTTCGTGAAGTATATATTTTTTGAGATTTTAAGTTCTTTGGGATTTCTTGATATATTGTTTTTTACTTAGGATGCATATGGATGAACTCAAGAGTTCTGACAAACGACTTGGAAGAAATGAGAATTTGTTTCATAAGAAACATGTTGACACGTTTGCTACCTGGTTGCACAATAAAGTTGAAGTACATATATCGACAAGATTAGTGTTTAATTCTGTTGTTTATTCTCTCATTCCTAACGTGTTTATAATAATAACAGATTACAGGCCAATTGTTGCTGGACAATGTTTCGAATACTTTAAAGTGGCTTGCACGTGGCCCTAGATGTCAGTCTATGTCATATTCCAGTTTTGCAATAAATGGATTTCAATTTCACACTAAAGATGCCGAAAACTCTCGCCAAAACAGTGGCATCTTAGTTGAAGCAACAACCATATGTAGATCTAGTGCAAAAGATACTGCACATGTTGTTGGGAAAGTTCTTTATTATGGAGTTTTGCGCGTTATTATAGTGCTTGACTACAATACATTTCATATTCCAATATTGTGGTGTGATTGGGCAAATATTGTGAATGGAATAAAGAAGGAAGATGAATTCACTTTGGTTAACCTTCATCAGGGACAGGGACAATTTGAAAATGATCCTTTCATTTTGGCATCACAGGCGAAACAAGTTTTTTATTCTATGGAGAATGAAACATTTAATTGGTATGTTGTTTTGCAAGCATCATCAAGAGACTTTCACGCGTTAGATATGGAAGAAGATGCTTCTCATGGGGCAACTATTCCATTGAATGTAACACAACTTGAAGACAATCATGAGGAGGATGAGAATTTTGCAAGGATAGATGTTGAAGGCATATTATGTGATATATAAATTGATTAGTTTGGTAACTGTCTTTATACATATAATTGTTTATATTACAAGTAGTAGAACTTTGAATCTCATTCTCTTTCTCTTTCTCTTATTGTTTGCAAATTCGTACTCTCTCGAGTAGATTTTTTTGGAACCAGGTGACATTATTAAATATACACATGATGGATAAAGCTAAGGTGAGTGCATTTCAATACACTTTTTAAGATGGTAACTTTTGAAAAAAAATTAACTTTCTGCCATTTTTCATGTTGCATTCTTTAAGTCAAATAAGCAAATTTCTAAGAGTTCTGAAAGACGAAGCGCTGCAATTGCTGTTGCAATTCGGGAGACAAATAAGAGACTACGACCTTCTAGTGAACCTACATGTACCCTGTCTACTCCAATTACTGGTGATCAAAACATGGCTTCGACAAGTGTAGATGCTACAAAAAAGAAAAGAGGTCCAACACATTTGAAAATAGTTGCTGAAAATAACTATCAGAAGATAGACCTTGAATTCAATGAATTCGAGCAAGTAGTTGACCGTAACTCTGATAAATTTGTCAGCATAGCCAGAGTCATAGTATGAGAATATGTGCTAGTAGTTATTAAAAATTGGCCTTCAGTGGATGACAACAGAAAAATTGAACTTTGGAATTTTATACAGGTACGTTTATTTCATATGAAACGTACATACATTATTCGTTATACTATGTTTTGTTCAAAGCTTCACTGCCATTTTCATTCAAAGCTTGACACCATTTTTTATATTTGTGATAAATATAGCAAAGATTCAATGTCAGTGACTGCCATCAAAAAATGACATTTCAATGCATGGGAACATATTGGAGGACATTCAAATCAAGAAAAGAAATCAAATGTCAAGTACCATCCGCCATGAATAGAAAACGCGTTATTGCCCTTCTTAGACCGAAGAATATAAACTCTGAAAAAGCATGGGAAAAGTTTGTAGAAGATACTCTTTCTGTTGATTTTCAAGTAAGTTAAAATTTCATATTGACTTTAAACTTTGTAGTCAATTATTGTTGATTTATATTTTTTCCCTTAATAGAAAAGAAGTTCTAATTTCAGCAAAATGAGAACTACTCAGAAGCTTCTCCATACTATGGGTCGAAAGGGTTATTCATGCATGGCTCACGATTTGGTACAATACTAACTATTTATATTTTTTTATGTATCGTTATTGATTTTTTATAGGTGTCCGTGATTGGGAAAATATTGTTGTTGTAGAAAAGAAAAAATCTAAATATAAAAGGATTGAGAACGAGAGTATGGACTCATGGACATCTTCGAAAGGATGGAAAGCCAATAAATGAAGCGGTTGCTGAAACTTTGGTATGCGTATTGTATGTGTGTGTGTGGGGGTTTGTGTGTGTATCTGCTTCTAGTGTAATATTTAAGTTTCATAAGTGCAGAGGAAGATAGAAGATTGTGCCGAGTCAATTTCTGATACACCAGCCGAAAATTCTATTCGAGATGATGCTACTGCTCGAATTTTAGGTCCCGAGCGTCGTGGGCGAGTAAGGGGACTTGGACTTGGGGTTACACCATCAAAAGTAGATGGAAATGTACAAAGCAGTGAGAAGGTGAGAGAACTTGAGAGCAAATTACAAACTCAGTCAGTAAGGATGGAAGCACTCGAAGAAAAGGTTGAAGCACTTCTGAAGTTATCTCAGGTTATACTTTTCTATTACATATAATATGATATTGTGCGTAACTTAATATATCTTATCATTTTAATAAGTTTTAAGTTTTTGTATTATTTTACAGAATGAAAATAAAAATGTGGACGACCTGAGTTCACGTGCTTTTACTCCACAAGTTTTTATATCGTATATTATTTATTATTTGTTCAATATAAATTCAAATTATATCATACTAATTTTAAAAATATTTTTATTTTATTGCAAATTTCTAGTCCCAACAAGGAAGTGGTATGGAAGGAGGTATTACGCCAGTGGAAAATGCAAAGTGTCAACTATTGCACTGGTATATGTTTGAGGAGGAGGAAATTGTAGGAGAGGGGAAGATTGCATCAATAGATCCAAGTGCAAAGGTGCATCACATGCCACTAGGACGAGATTGTTGGAAGGTTTGGGTTGAGGAGGTGTACATGAGTCAGTTGCCCTTATATAGACCAACAGATGAATTTCAAGTTCTTAGTGAAGCCATGAGAAGTACTGTTGCTTGGCCGAAGAGCTGTGTTAGACTTATTTGACGAAGGTACTTTATAAATATCTACATTTTTTTCATTCATATGCATACTTGTGTTTAGAACCATCAAGGTGGAAGTTTGTTCATGGCATTACCGATGAGTGCACAATTATTTCTCTAAAACACAAGAAATTGATCTTATTTTTAAAAAATCGATCAAGTTTTTAATTATAAGTTTGTATTCTTGTTATGATTCAATTTCTGCATTTAAAAGAGGACATTGTATTGTTTCTTAATTGTTTGCCATTTTTGATTAATTTGTTGTTATATTCTTTCTTTCTTGCAGAGTTACATGGAGTCGAACTGAGTTCTAAAGCAAAGTTTTTTTGTGTGTCTTCTTGGATCTCGTTTATGTAAAAGGAATGGGTTGGGACTCATTTGAAGCTTTGGTTATATATTGTTTACACAACATTTGGACATTTTTCATACCTCTTTGGTTAGATGGTGCGTATTTTTGAGTTGAAGTATGTATTGTGTTTTGATGGAGTAATATTGTATATGGGATCATGTTACTTAAATGAAGTACTTAGAATTTTTGTTGTCACTTGTGGGTATATATATATTAAATAGGTTTTGAATTCATAGGTTTGCAATGAAAGAAAAAATGTGAAATAATTGAGGAAAAAATAAAAAAAAAATGGCATTTGCTGTTAAGCCCTTTTTTTGCAACGTTCCATGAACGTTGCCAAAACATGGCTTCGGCAACGTTCACAGAACGTTGCAAAAACAGAGTTTCGGCAACGTTCGACAAACGTTGCAAAAAGAGAGTTTTGGCAACGCGCAGTGAACGTTGCAAAAATAGGATTTTGGCAACGTTCATAGCATGTTGCAAAAATAGAGTTTCGGCGACGTGCATGAACGTTGTAAAAAGAAAGCTTTGGCAACGTGCTATAAATGTTGCAAAAAGAGGGTTTTTGCAAAGTTCCATAAACGTTGTCAAAAGATGGCTTTGGCAACGTTCAAAGAACGTTGCAAAAAGAGAGTTTAGGCAACGTTCGCTGAACGTTGCAAAAACAGAGTTTTGGCAACGTGCTGTAAATGTTGCAAAAAGAGGCTTCAGCAACGTTTATTGCACGTTGCAGAAAATAGAGCTTTGACAATGTGCAAAGAACGTTGCCGAAACTCTTCGCTCTACAGTAACATTGAAACCCACAACAGAAGCGCGAACGTTGCAATAGGTCTACAGCAACGTTTTCTACCCGTTGCAAAAAGTGATTTTTGGTGTAGTACATGGTGGGAGCATAGACACAGTGCACTCAAAGGTTAAAGTGGAAGTGACTGATAAGATTAAAATTCAACTTCAATTATTATGCATCCTAGTTCTCACATTCTTTATTCTCATAATTAATGCATTTTTGATTTATATTATTAATCTGCAATTTACAGGTGTATTTGACTTGGTAAACATTTCTATTCGCATAGTTGAAACTTATTCCAACACCAATCTGTATTTTTTACAGTTACCTTGATTATTTTCTGGTTCATGCTTGTATCTAGGCGTCAGAGAGCATCATCTTTGCTTCATACCCTGGTATGATCCTAATAGCCAGTAATAAATTACTAAACTTTGTAATCAAAACTACATTTAACAGTCACATAGTTCTGTAGATATATTTACAATATTTTTGCAGAATAGATTTTTTATTACTGAAATTAGAACTGAATAACTCTTTGAGAACTTTTTATCCTTTCTTTTCACATCACATATTGATAAGATGCTTTTACTTGATATTGAACTATGAATCATTGGCACCAACATGGGAAATATAATATCAGATGGGGCAGGCACTAATTGAATTTTTTTTTTTTTTTTTAAAGTTCACAGTGAAGATGCATACCATGAGATATTTTTCTATTTAATGAAATCGAGAAACTTTAGCTGAAGGACTTCAAAAATAAATGAAAACTTTCTGACCTAAAATTTACATTTTCTGTAGACATTTTATTTGAACATCTTGTGTACATAGGTGGTAGGTTTTATCCTCATGTCTCTCTCTCTCTCTCTCTTCTTCCCCCGGGGTAGCTTCTTTATTTCATTGTTTGATACTTTTGGCAGAGCTGCAAACATGAAAGTTGGGTTAGTACTGCAAAGTACTTGATGGATGATCTTCCAGTGCTGTTAAGTTCAAACGATGTGAAGGATGTAAAACATGTCATCTCTACTGTTTTCAAGTCTCTCCCATCAGATTTTGCAGAGTTCATTAAGTGGGTGGCGGAGGTTCGCAGACAAGAGGAAGGTGGTCAAGGTGTTAGCCAAGAAGAGAAAGAAAGGGTGGCTATCAAGGTGAAAACAAGTAAACATAGTGATTAGGGAAAACAAATGGCTTCTGGGTCATAATTTTCATCTAAAAACGCAGGATGTTAAAATTTTTCTGAGTTCATTCACTATGGCTGTTTAATTTTTCAGGAGGAGGTGTTGAAACAAGTAGAAGAGACTGGACTTTACAAGCATGTAACTGATATTTTATCTTCAGAAAAGTCTTCCTGCCAAATCAAACAGACTATTGGTCTCAGAGATAGTTTGCCTAACATTGCAGCAAGTGTTTGCTGTCAAGGGGCTGGGTTTTTGACTGGGAAATTGGGCTTGGCAGATAGGTTTTGCTGTCGGGAGACAGGTGTGAGATGCTACATGGCTAATGGCGACAAGCCTGTTACAGTAGTTTCTGGGACTGTGGTCAACAGCAATGGAGAGCAAGGAGTTGATATGGTCGTTCCTTTATCTCAAAAAGAGCCTAACTGCTGCAGTGTTGGCTCCTGTGGTTACTCCGTAGTGCACCCTGCAAGCAACGATATTTTGACAGCACTTTTGCTGGCATTGCCACCACAAGCATGGATGGGTATCAAAGATTACGAGGTTTTGCAGGATATGTCCGGCTTAGTTTCCACTGAGAAGCTTCCTCATTTACTTCAAGAAGAGGTACCAATATCACTTATATTCTCTCAAATGAACTACATTCTTAACTTTTCTTAACCTTCATATTGTTCCAGAGTGAGGGTTTTATCTGTTTATTTGAGAAAAAATTGAAGCGTTGGTTATGTTGTTCAACTCATTTCTTAAACTCCTCATTAACCATTTAAAATAAGATGGCATTGAAACATTAAACCATATATCCAATAAATTTGGGGTGTTGGGTTATATTCAGTTGGATATCTTCGTGGTCAAATAGAAACCTTCCAACTGCTTAGCTACAATATTCATTTTCATTTATGCTTTTAACATCATATGTAAGGGCACATAAATTCTACTGTTTATTGAAAAATTATAGATATTCACTTCGTGTTATTCACTTGATCGATCGTTCTTATCGTACTTTCATATCTCTTCATAATGTTAAACTGGAACTTGTGGTCTTTTCCTAGCCGATTATAGAGTGTGTGTGTGTGTGTGTTCCCCCCCCCCCCCCCCCCAAAAAAAACCTTACGCTGTCTTTTTGAGATTAATTTCAAGAAATTTTCGAGTAACTAAGCTTTATTCACTTCTCTACGTGAATCATTCTTTGTGATTCCACTATTCATAGCTAGATTCATTAGGATATCTAAAGTAACTAGATTCTTTGCAAATGCAATATGGCATATTAATTTTTTCTTTTGCTGCCTTCCTCTTCTAATTTCTCTTTTGGAATCACGTCATTATGCGGAAGGGGCCAACCGTAACCCGAAACACCTAAGTTGTTGTTCTGTTATTTTCCTCAATCGTCGCCACCTCCACTTGTTGAGTTATATTTCCATTACTTATCTGTTTTAGCATGACTACATCCATCTTTGCGTCCTCTTTTCAGCTTCATTCATCTTATGGACATCTGACTTTTAATAACCCAACCCTTGGAACCGTAAACATAGACAGTTGAATTATTTCGTGTAGGACTAGCCTTTTAACCTTACTGGAATCTTCTTATCACAGAGAATTTTTGTAGCACATCTCCATTTCATCCTATAAATGTTATGCCCTAGATCCAATCGAATTAGGTTGTAAAAACTTTTAATATGTTTAATGCATTTGATATTGGCGAGATCTATTATTTATTTAAATTAGTTTTGTGATAAATAATATTAAATAATAGAATCCGAAGATCCAATTTTAAGTGATCTGTTAATGACAAGGAGTTGTGATTGTGAGATACAAATTACATATAATTGGATCTTGAATAAATCGTGATCGTAAGTAATAACGAGATAAGGATATCGTTAATATAGTTAGACCATCACGTGTAGCATTTCTTACTTGTAAAGTAAGTAGCTGATCTCACGAGCTAAAGTGTGGTGACACTTAAATGAACACGTGGATGTTTTGTTATAGAACAAAACATTGGAGACCCGCTAAGAGATTCCATATGGATAACTATCTGAATGTCAGTGGTTAATCTCTAACGTTCGGTAATGAAACTGGTCCTACAACTTGAGGTCATCATAGTACCTTATATGAGGACAGTCATATTTTGACGGTGTTGGATGTTGCTCTGCCAAGGGCCGCTAATATGACATCGTTCGGGTATGTCAAGAACTATATGAAGGTTGTGAATGATCAATAGAGGATTCGTCACTCTTAAATAGTAAGAGATTGTGATCTTCATTTCATTCAATTAAGTCAATAACAAAATCCTTGGCCAAGGTGCACATATAAGTCGAAAAGAGTTTTCGACTCATATTGACTTAATAGAAGAATGAAAGATATGATCGATAATCGAGATTGACACACTTTCATATCTCGTAGTTGATCGGATCATATTGATGAAGAGATTATAATTTCATGGTAAACGAACAGTTTTAGTTCTGTCATACCAGGTGACATTTCCCGTCACATGTATTGCCCTGATACATTGCTAAATATCAATTTGGGACGACGATTGCCAATCTGTGATAAATTAAAAGAGTGTTTAATTTATTAGTTTTGATTAGATCAAAATAATATTTCACGTCGTTAGTCATCGTGGTCGGAAACCTAATGGGTCGCACACAAAAGAGAATTGATAGGTTGCAAATTCCCAATTGATTAATTTAACAATCGTTGGATAAATTAATTAATTGAATTTGTTATTTATATTCCCGAATTAATTAGTTGGATTGATTAATTCACGGACCGAGTTTAATTAAATGGATTAATTAAACAATGGACCGGATCGGGACGAGCCCGTTTGGGTTTATATAAATACATGACTAGGGTTTGAGGTCCAAGTGATTTTTTCATTATTCTTGCTGGTACAAGAGGAAAACCCTAGCAGTTGCAGTCTATTCTCTGTGTGGATTTCATTGGAGGTTGGACAATTGGACAGCTGTGGGAGGCAGATTCAAGCTGCTGGAAAGGAATAACGTGAAGGAGTTTGCAAATTAAAAGAAAAGGTATATTTCTTAGCACAGTTTTTATCTAAATACAAAGCTGAATTCTGAATGGGAATTGAAATTTGTTAAATTCCGCTGTGCATGTTTAAGTAAATTCCCAACAGTGGTATCAGAGCCAACGTTGGATTTGTTAGGAACTGTTTTACGTGTTGATTAAATTAAATGTTAGTTTAATCATGTTCATCCCTAAATCTAGCAAATATAGTTTTAATTTTTTTTAGAATCTGTTCTTGAAAAACACAAAAAAAAAAAAATTTAGGTCGAGGCGGGCGAAGCCCTGCAACCTGCAACGTGAGGCACTGCAGGTGCTGAAACCGGCAGCGCGGCGCCGCTGGTTGTTTCCACCGGCGCCGCCACTGGAGGAGAATAAAAAAAATAAATTTTAGGGTTTGGTGGTGGAGACGGGTGCCTCTATTGCAAATAATGTAATTAGAGGCCCCTAGTTGCAATTACGAAAATGGGGTCAATTTGCAATTTTAAAATGAGTGACCTATTCTGTAAATTTTGAGTTTGGAAGGGTCTGCTGTTAATTTCCAATTTGGGTCAAATTTGTAAATTTTCAAAAGGTTTTGATTTTGAATTTTGAATTGTTTTAAAAATGAGTTTTAATTGGGTTTGACCCATACCCTAATTTTGACCCAGAATTAAAATTTTATTTAAAATTTGAGAACTTTTATATTTTTGTTAAAATTAGATTTTAACTTAAATATTTAGTTTGACCCTTAATTGAATTTTATTTTGTTAGGGAATTTTGTCCTAATTTAAAATATTAATTCAATTTTATTAGAGTTGGACTCTAATATTACATTAATTGAAATTTGTTTTCAATTAGCACCACTTCCCAATGTAAATTAGAACTTAGAGTATGACTCTAATTTAATAATTAATTAAAATTCGATTTTGATTAAATTACTTCGCCCAATAGTTATGGAATTAGAGTTGGACTCTAATTCGGGATTTAGTTAAAATTTGGTTTTAATTAAATAGGCCTGTCGATTAAATTAATTAATTAATATGATTAATTAATTGTTTAATTATCTCAATCCCAAAATTTTGAATTAATTTAGACGACTATAATTGCTAGATTTATGAGACATTGCATATAATATTAGATATTATACATAGGAAACATTTATGTGATGAATGTTTATGGATGATTATGACTCGACTATATGGATATGTTGAATGGTTGATTTACTTATTGTTGTTGTGGGCCTGCGAGCTCTTTATTATATTGGACCTGGGAGTCCATTATTATTGTTATTATTATGGGTCTACGAGTCCGATTTCTTCTAGGCCTGCATGCCAACTAGTATAGGATACATGTTGCAAGTTCGGCTAATTGGAGGCGCAAGAAGAGGTGGACACCATGGAGATGGTGTATTGGTATTGATCCAATGCTATACCCTTTAGGAATTGACCAACTAGTTTTCCTTTTGGCTTGGGAAAACTAGATAGAACAAGTCAATAATCATCCATACTATTAATTATATATATATATTTGCATAGTAGATGTATGTTTAAATATATGTATATATAATTACTTGATGAGACCATTGCACGTTAAATCCCTCGTTAAAAATATTAAGTTAGTATTATTTGCTTTCCATCATTATAGTGAAAAACGAGAATCCTAAATCGACCTTAACTTGTTGAGTACATTCAAGGCTGGTCTATTAGGGATATGTTTGACACTATGAAATATTTGATATTTCTGAATGATGGGTTTGACTTAACTAAAATTTATCTTTTGTTGAGTACACTCAAGGAGATAAGTTCTAGAGGCATGTTAAGCTAACACATAAGATGTGTGAAGACAAAAGAGTTGTCAGTTTAATGATCTGGGAGTTGTATGGAGATACAATTGATAATAATATCTACCCAAATGTTTTATTAGGATTTGTTGAGTACACTCAAGATCTCGATACAACGAATGGTATCCCAGCCCATTGGGAATCAAGTGTGGATTCAAATAATTTATGTATGAGGGTCATGAATTTATTTTAAACAGTGGGAGCACATTTAATTAAAGTCCATATTGAATTTATGCACATGCATTATAATACATATTAATTCTATGTTTTTCGTCATTTACAGTTTTTTGAATCATGAGTAATCATATGAATTTGAGAGGCATACTGGATGCCAACAAACTGACCGGACCAAATTTTCTCGATTGGCACTGTAATTTGAGAATCGTTCTCAAGCATGAGAAAATTGGATATGTACTTGAGTAGTCTTTTCCAGTGGTGCCTACTGAAAATTCCACTCAGGAAGAGGTGGTTGCGTACAACAAACACAGTGATGACGATAACACTGCAGCATGTGTGATGCTTGCAGCTATGTCACCTGAGTTGTAGAAGCAACATGAGGGTATGGATGCTTACACTATGATTTTTCATCTCAAGGAGTTGTATGATGAACAATCTCATGTGGAGAGGTATGAGACCTCTAAACAACTATACCGGTGCAAAATGGCAGAGGGATCATCAGTCAGTGCTCATGTGCTGACGATGTTTGGTTTCATTGAAAAACTGAGTTCACTGGGTTTTATCATGGATCATGAACTAAGTATTGACTTGGTTCTGCAATCTCTGCCAGATAGTTATTCACAGTTCATTATGAACTTTAATATGAATAAGATCGAATGTACACTCCCTGAGTTGTTTAATATGCTTAAAACTGTGGAGCCCAATGTCAAGGCTAGCACTGGGCATCTCTTAGCTGTTCATTCCTCCAAGGGAACTAAGAGAAAAATCAAAGGAAGTTTTAAGAAAATATCCAAAAAGGCTAAGGGCTATAACAAAGCAGTCAAAGCAGGCAAGAACAATACCAAATCTGATGACCCATGCTATCACTGTGGAATGA